CGCCCGCCCTGCGGCGGGGGAGGGGTAAGGCAGGGCGCGGGAAAGAGGCCGGTCCGGTCTCACCTTCAGGATCTGATCAGCTGGGGGCTTCTCCAGCAGCAGCAGCATCGTTGCTTCGCGCCTGCGCCGAGTCGGGGGGCGAGGCGAGCGAGAGCGCGTGACCCCAACGCTCCAGCCCGCTCCGGACGTGCAGTGAGAGACCCTAGTAGCCGGGCTTGGGCGAGCTGTAGAGCGCATGCGCAGCACCGACGGGACTCAGCGGGGCGGAGTCTGGGCGGGGCTGGGGGCTTCTCCAGCAGCAGCAGCATCGTTGCTTCGCGCCTGCGCCGAGTCGGGGGGCGAGGCGAGCGAGAGCGCGTGACCCCAACGCTCCAGCCCGCTCCGGACGTGCAGTGAGAGACCCTAGTAGCCGGGCTTGGGCGAGCTGTAGAGCGCATGCGCAGCACCGACGGGACTCAGCGGGGCGGAGTCTGGGCGGGGGTGCGCAGGAGCAGTGAAGGGGGGGGAGTGTGTCTGGGCGCAGCGGCCTGCGGGCGGGGAGGGGTGAGACGCAGCCGCTGGGGGCGCTGCTGGGCGCGCTGTGTCCGGTGCTGTCTGGCCAGCGCGTGCAGAGCGGTGGCCTTAGTGGCGCTGCTGCGCTAGCGAGTTGGGGAGTGACGGGCTAACCGGTTCGCCTCGCCGCGAGCAGCTCCCGCCCAGCCGCGCCGCGTAAGCGGTTATCTGGTTAATTGCAGTGTTTAGCTAGTTGATTAAGCGGGATTTTACCTCCCTGCGCTGCGCTCCCCACCCCTGTTCTCGGGGGGCGTTTACAGCTTCATAGTGGGGATCACGTTATATTTTGGGCAGGGCGCTATAGTGCCTGTTAGGCTTCTCTAGCCAGTGCCAGGAGGCAGCCAGACTGGACTGGGGACTCGGCGGTGGGCACCAGAGCGGGCTTTAGGAAGTGCAGGGCCCAATTCGAACAGTTTCAATGGGGCCCCAGCAGCCAGGATTTTTTGTTGACCCCCCCCCAAAAGAACCATAGCACACAAAACCAGTCACAGCCCCCCCTTTAAATCTCCTGCCTTCCCACCAAACTACCCAGGGGCCGACTCCCCCTCCCGCAGCGCAGAGAAATCCCTGTGACCCACAGAAGCTGCCGTGCTCCTCTGGGGCCCATGCCCCCTCCTGCAGTGCGCCTGGCACGCCAGCACACTTCCAGCTTTAGGGCGTAGGGCCCTCTTGCTTTAGGGTGCGGGGCCCTTTTCGGCACGGGGCCCGATTCAGAGTAATCAGGCGAATCGACCTAAAGCCAGTCCTGGTGGGCGTTGCCGCTCAGGCAGCAGGGAGCTGGAGAGGAGCCCCCAGTGGGCGGAATAGGTCTGGAAGAGGCTGAGAAGATCGGACGTAAATGCTGGCTGCAGATCTGCATCGGACTTTGCACGGGGAGACGGTGCAAAAGGCCCTAGTGAGAGAGACTGGTGGGGATCTGTGCAGGCTCCTGTTTGCACAGAAACAGGACTGGAGAGGACAGTCTGGGGCCTGAAGAGCCCTTACTTTGGGACTCAACTAAGAATTGCTGTTACTTTGAACTCTTTACTGCAGAGGTCCCCAATGCGGTGCACGCGGGCACCATTTCTGTACGCCCACCGAGTGATCAGGGCTGGACCCACCCCTGGGCACACAGCAAATGGGCAGCCCCGCTACCAGGCGCGCTGCACATAGGTGCTACCGGCTTCTGGGCAAGTGGCACAGGCGCCGGCTCCGGGCACACAGTGCATGGACGGTGGCGGCCCCGCCCCCGCCTCCGGGGGCACGGGACATGGGCTGTTCCGGCCCTGGGTGTGCGGTGTATGGGCGGTACCACCCTTGGGCGTGCAGCAGTTGTAGCACCAGCCCCGGGAGTGTAGCGCATGGGTGGCGCCAGCTCCGGGAATGCAGCGTATGGGTGGCCCCTCCCCCAGACGCGTGTGCAGCCCCTCCCCCAGGCGCATGTGTGGCCCCGCCCCCCGGGTGCCCGGCGCGTGAGCGGCCCTGCCCCCAGGTACCCGGCAGCCCCAAAAGGTTGGGGACCACTGCTTTACTGTAAAAGTGGCAGGGGGCCCCTGGCCTTGAAGATGAACTGTAGCTCAGCAGTTTCTCTTTGAAGTCTGGTCCTGAAGTTTTTTTGCTGCAGGATGGCTACCTTTAGATCTGCAATTGTGTGTCCAGGGAGATTGAAGTGTTCCACTACAGGTTTTTGTATGTTGCCTTTCCTAATATCTGATTTGTGTCCATTGATTCTTTTACATAGGGACTGTCCATTTGAAGTCTGGTCCTGAAGTTTTTTTGCTGCAGGATGGCTACTTTTAGATCTGCAATTGTGTGTCCAGGAAGATTGAAGTGTTCCCCTACAGGTTTTTGTATGTTGCCATTCCTAATATCAGATTTGTGTCCATTGATTCTTTTACGTAGGGACTGTCCTGTTTGGCCGATGTATATAGCAGTGGGGCATTGTTGGCACATGATGGCATATATTACGTTGGTAGCTGTGCAGGAGAATGAACCAGTGACAGTATGGCTGATCTGGTTAGGTCCTGTGATGGTGTTGCCGGTGTATATATTTGGGCAGAGTTGGCACCGAGGTTTGTTGCATGGATTAGTTCCTGAGTTAGAGTTATTTGTACCAGTGACAGTATGGCTGGTCTGGTTAGGTCCTGTGATGGTGTTGCTGGTGTATATATGTGGGCAGAGTTGGCACCGAGGTTTGTTGCAAGGATTGGTTCCTGAGTTCGAGTTATTATGGTGCGGTGTGTAGTTGCTGGTGAGAATATGCTTCAGGTTGGCGGGTTGTCTGTGGGCAAGGACCGGCCTACCTCCCAAGGCCTGTGAGAGCGAGGGGTCATTGTCCAGGATGGGCTGAAGATCACTAATGATGCGTTGGAGAGGTTTTAGCTGGGGACTGTAGGTGATGGCCAGTGGTGTTCTGTTGGTTTCTTTCTTGGGCTTGTCCCGTAGCAGGAGGCTTCTGGGTACACGTCTGGCTCTGTCAATCTGTCTCCTCACTTCCTCGTGTGGGTATCGCAGTTTACAGAATGCTTGTTGAAGGTCTTGTAGGTGTAGGTCTCTGTCTGAGGGGTTGGAGCATATGCGGTTGTACCTCAGTGCTTGGCTGTAAACAATGGATCGTGTGGTGTGTCCGGGATGGAAACTGGAGGCATGCAGGTAAGTATAGCGGTCGGTAGGTTTTCTGTATAGGGTGGTATTGATATGACCGTCACTTATTTGTATCGTGGTGTCCAGGAAATGGACCTCCCGTGTAGATTGGTCCATGCTGAGGTTGATGGTGGGGTGGAAGCTGTTGAAATCATGGTGAAATTCTTCCAGAGTCTCCTTCCCATGGGTCCAGATGATGAAGATGTCATCGATGTAGCGTAGGTAGAGAAGGGGTGTAAGTGGACGAGAGCTGAGGAAGCGTTGTTCCAGGTCAGCCATAAAAATGTTGGCGTATTGTGGGGCCATGCGGGTGCCCATAGCAGTGCCACTGGTCTGGAGGTATATATTGTCACCAAATCTGAAATAGTTGTATGTGAGGATAAATTCAGCGTTCAGCCACCAGTTGTGCTGTGGCATCATCAGGGATGCTGTTTCTGACAGCTTGTACTCCATCTGCATGTGGGATGTTTGTGTAGAGAGCCTCTACATCCATGGTGGCTAGGATGGTGTTTTCTGGAAGATCACCAATGCATTGTAGTTTTCTCAGGAAATCCGTAGTGTCACGGAGGTAACTGGGAGTGCTGGTGGCGTAGGGTCTGAGTAGAGAGTCCACATAGCCAGACAGTCCTTCAGTGAGAGTGCCAATGCCCGAGATGATGGGGCATCCGTGATTTCCAGGTTTGTGGATCTTGGGTAATAGATAGAACAACCTTGGTCAGGACTCTAAGGGTGTGTCAATTTGTTCCTGTGCTTGTGTAGGGAGTGTCCTGAGCAGATGGTGCAGTTTCTTAGTGTATTCCTTAGTGGGATCTGAGGAAAGAGGCCTGTAGAATTTGGTATTGGAGAGTTGTCTGGCAGCCTCCTTTAGGTAGTCAGGCCTGTTCATGATGAGAACAGCACCTCCTTTGTCAGCCTCTTTGATTATAATGTCAGAGTTGTTCCGGAGGCTGTGGATGGCATTGCGTTCTGCACGACTGAGGTTACCAGGCAAGTGATGCTATTTTTCTTACAATTTCTGCCTGTGCACGTCGGCAGAAGCATTCTCTGTAGAGGTCCAGACTGTCATTTCGGCCCTCAGGAGGAGTCCGTGTGGAGTTCTTCTTCTTGTGCTGTTGGTGGTGAGGTTACCAGGCAAGCGATGCATTTTTCTTACAATTTCTGCCTGTGCACGTCGGCAGAAGCATTCTCTGTAGAGGTCCAGACTGTCATTTCGGCCCTCAGGAGGAGTCCGTGTGGAGTTCTTCTTCTTGTGCTGTTGGTGGGAAGGTATCTGTGTGTCAGTGCACTGTTCAGTGTTGTGTTGGAAATATTCCTTTTGACGGAGACGGCGAAAGTAGGCTTCCAGATCACCGCAGAACTGTATCATGTTAGTGGGGTTGGCGGGGCAAAAAGAGAGTCCCTGAGATAGAACAGACTCTTCTGCTGGGCTGCATATTTCTCTTCTGATTCTGGCCTGCATATTTATACCTGCCTCTGGAAATTTCCACTACATGCATCTGACGAAGTGGGTCTTTGCCCACGAAAGCTTATGCTCCAACACTTCAGTTAGTCTATAAGGTGCCACAGGACTCCTCACCGCTTTTGCAGATTCAGACTAACACGGCTACCCCTTTGATGCTTTACTGTGTAAGCCTCTATATCTAGGGTATTTGCAGCCTTTCCTTTTCCTTCCAGCTCTAGTAAAATACCCTTTTCCTTAGCTGTGTGTGAGTAGTTATTGAAACATACTAGACTAGTGTCTAAAAAGGCCCAACTATTGAAGGCCTTTACAGTAACTGCTGCTGAGGTACACATAATATGCTAATGGCAGCCTAGGGTTTGGTGTACTGAACTGCCACAATAATTACAATCAGTAAAACCCTTTCAAGTCCCTGAGTGAAAGGTGCTCTGGAAGTGCAAAGAATATTTAAACAAATTAAAAAACTTACTCTGCATGTATAATATAAATAATTAAAACCCATTCCAACAAAATACTGAAACTCTTACTTAATGTTAAGCCTATGAATAAACATATGAGACTAATTCATTGAAGCCAATGGGGCAGCTCTTCCTTAAAT